TTTTTTTTTTTTTAAGTTTCCGAGAAAATCGAGTTCGAAAATTTATCGAGCATGAGAGGACAGAAATTAATAAAATTTCAAAGAAATAGATTTTGAATGTGTTTCATTAAAAATTGTCTTGCGCTTGATAAATTTTCAAATTGGATCTTAACAAAAAATTCTTATTCTACATTCGATTTTCTTTTACACATTAGTAGAATAAATCCTCCGATTAATTATTTTTTTTGTATCATGTTCAACATTAGCCAAGTATACAAATTCATAAATTTTCAAAACTAAGCCTTATATGATAAAATTTTGTTTTTTCTTTTTGATTTATCTTTTCATGAATTTCTCATCTGACCTCTAATGTACTCTAATGTATATGTGTCTGATAATTCTGCTATCTAAACAGAATATTTAATAGCAATAAACATTCCTTTGCATTTTAATATTATTTTGTATTTATAAGTATTATTTTATATTTAATGAATAATAAATTTCTTATATATTAAAATTCTATTTTACATGAACTATTAAGTACATGTTTGACATGTCTTTCATAATTACAAAAAAGAATTTATTAAAACATGAAATAGAAAAATAATGTGAAAAGATTGTATTTGTTATATTTAATTCTATGATAAATTGATATTCACGTATTTCGTTTGTGAATGAAGAAGACATGTCTTTTTACACTTAAGATGATTTGAAGCACAAAAAGAATATTTTTTTACTAAAGAAGTTAGATATTTCAACAGCCAGAAGAAAAATATAAACATTTTTAAACGTTAAAATAAATATCGGAATAAATTTAATATTAAACAAATAGCATCTAAAAATTTCCTCAATCGAACAGTTTTGTCTCTCTATTTCTTCGAATATGTTTATGAAAAGAAATCTTTCTGATATATATATATATATATATATGCAAGATATCTCGCTTCAATTTTCTATCTTCTTCAAAAATTTTTTTCATTTACTAAAATATTGAAATATGAATCCGAAATCCATGATTTGCTTAATTTAATAAAGCAACAAATATCCAAACGAAGTAAAAATACACAGAGCAATTGTTTCGATAACTACAAATATTTCCGTCAATGTGAAATTTTCAAATGTTACTTAATTCAATGTAATAAACTGCCGGAACGAAACAGTGATGTTGAAGTAAAATCGAGGCAAACAGGAGACTAATTATTTTAATCGTCATAGATATTACGAGTCCCGAAAATTTTCGAGCGTATGGAATTTCCATGTTTCGCCTGATTTATCAAAATAGCAGACCGTTGAAAAACGAAGCAAACGAAAAATTAATAAATTTTAGTCAAACATGGTATTATATGGAACTTTCATGTTTCGCTTAATTTCGTCAGATGTCAGCAATCGAAAGCAGAACAGAATTATTGAAACAAGCAGACAGTCACTTATTTCAATCACTGTAGATAAAAGGAGATGCCGACAAACAGAAAATTAAAGAAAAGAAAGGAAAGAAGAGGGACGGTAAATGTTAAAGAAGCGTAAAGTTTGGAAGTTACGATGCTGTTAGTCCTGGCAAATTTGGTTTTGTGGGTGCATATACAGTTAATAGTCATTGTTGCGAGGACGGAACCGTACGGAGGCGATTGGTTGACCCGCAGTCCGCATTCGCCCTCGGCTGACCCCGTTGTTAACTGACCCACTGACGATATTGATAGCGGGATACCGCGGTGCTCGGTTCGCATCGGTCTTTCTGT